ACTCATACTCCCTGAGGTGCCTGGAGTGGCCAGACTCGCTCTCCTAGCCGGGCTACTCGGGCGCAATGGAGAGTTGAGTGTCAGAAATGTAGCAGCACTGCTCCTCCTCCTCTCTGCATCACCAGGAGAGTTGGGAGAAGTTAGTGAACCGGTAGCAAGCAAGTGTTGCCATTCATCCTTTTCGATCCAGTCGAAATATACTTGGCCATCAGATTCGCGCACGCGCAAACGCTGTTCCCGCTTCTGGACAGCGGTGGTGCCAAAGAATCGGTCGAGTTCCTCTTTGGTTTGGTAGCGGACAGGGCGAAAATTGTTAAACTTAGGAGCAGGCTGCTTCGAAGAGGAGAATGGAGGGGTGACGAGGGTAGATGAGTTGCAATGAGCCGTCATTGAACGAGGACGTGTGGCGACCGACATGTCGATGGCCCGAAAGACTGCCACAAGAAGTTGAAGGTGAGTGCAAGGTTAGACTTTCAAAGAGATGGAAAGGAGAAGGATTAGAGAGAGCAAGGAACCTTTATATTTTATAGCAGTGTGTAGGACGTAGTGTGAGTGACAAAGAAGGCATCATTAAAACTAAAGCATCATGTATGGCGCAACATCATACCTTTGACTGACAGGTCCTGTCACACTGGCGACGACTCCGGCGGCGTGGCTTCTCGTGTGGGGGCTAGGCCGTTCATTGGCGTTCAACCCATGATGCCTCTCCCTTTGTTCTTTCTCTCTCAGCTCATCAGTCCTACACAATTCATGTGGGCTTTACGTGCTCTCATAAGTTCACCCTGAAAAGGGCCCCGTAGGCGTGCTTTGAGAGCTTACAGTGATCGCCCACTTTGGCAGCTCGCTCTCAGATCTCGCAAACGCATGGTTGGCGTACTGCGCGTTGCAGTTCTATTCTGTTCTGATTGTGTGAACGCTTGCTACTACAGTTCGACCAGTTCATCCCTTTCATTCTGCATCCGGAACTGTCCACGCGGATGGTCCCGACTGCTTAGTGGATCCATGCACAGTGATGAGATTAGGCTTGATCTGCCCTGCTGATTATGACGGACACAAAGCCAAAAGGAGGACAAAGGGACGAGTTCCATCATGTTTTGTGAAATTTAATACATTACCGTACACATTATAGCGCCAAATAAATTTTGACTTTTCTTGCGACAACAAAGGGACTTTTTCTTTGTTTCTTTCTTTTTGGGTGAACGGTGTAAACATTCATTTCGCCGGGAAGCGAACTCCGAACTGTCAACAATGGGAAGGACCGAGCATCGGGAATCTTAATTCATGTTTCGTTTGTCCGTTATTTTGACAGTGTGGTCGCTCCGGATTTGTGGTTCAGAGAAGAAGCACACATCACAAAGCGTTGGATTTGCACCTCCGCTGCGGGAGAGAACACACACAAAGGGCTCTCGAATCATCGTTGCCCCATGTCTCCGACGGAACTGCAACGAAAAACCAAATCCCTGCCATTTTAAACTGAGCAATACGTCTCGCGTAAGATCGAGAGTATGAGTAGTGAATTTGAATTGTATTTTTCCGATCCTAAAGTGAGTAGATGCAGCATTTGAGGTGTACAAAAGGAAATAGATCAGAAACTTATCGTGGCTTTTCCTCGTCTTGAGTGTTTTACAGTATTCTTTAGGTAGCCTAGTAAACGAGATATCCGATGTTGAGCAGGGGAAATCCAGACATGAGTCCAATCCAAAAGATCATGTTGCCCAACGTTTCGTTCTTTCTGATAAATGGAACCTGACTGAGCAGGATTAATGGCAACTGCACCATCTGTGCAGCAAACAGATAGAACCTGATCTTGCCTGAGACGATGGCCATGACTAGCTCGTGCACCAAAGAGCTCAGCAAGAAGGTCAAGAACATTGCCATGCTCTTACTCACGCCCCATGCAGCAATCGTACTGGCATAGACGTGCCTGAGCAAGAACGAGTGCACTGGCTTGTTCCACTTTCTACTAAATACATCCATACTCGTCGCGTTCCACCAATCGAGGTAGAACTCGCGGTCAGCGAACCTGGTGAGTTCGGCAAAGGCGTTGCAGATGCATTCGAACATGATGTAAAAGATGAGAAGATAGTTGATCATCATGGGTACGGCAAGCTGCAAGAATGTTCGCAAGAAAGGTGTGTCGGCTGTGGGAGTGAAAGGCATTATCCAGTGCTCTGTGATGACGTAGATGACCAAGAATGTGCCAAATGTAGCAAGGGTCTTTTCTAGGACGTATAAAGGACGGATGGTCTTGAGTCGCGGATAAGAAAGTTCGTAGACGAGAGTAGGCACTAGGAGATAGTCCCAAAAGTTGGCGTAGGTCACGTTGGCTGGCCACATTATAGGGTCTTGATGTACGAGGTCAGGCGAAAGAGGTTCGGAAGAAGGCGCTGAGAGCAGATCCTCACGGAGCACCTCGATTTCTCGGGCGAGGTCGGCAATGAGCGAGTCGGGATGGGAAGAGAGCGGGTGTGGGTCGCGAATGATGTGGCTGTCACGGGCAGGGGATGAGCGCCGGGTAAGCTTTGAATCGGTGCTACCGTTGCCTTGAAGCTTTCCGTCATCCTTGGAAGTATCTGCAGTGCGCTCAGCCTGGTCCTGCTCGAAAACCTCCTTGTGCAGCTGGATGTGCTCTTCGCGAGTCAACTTGTTGCCCCTAGCTGCTTCCTCGTCTTTCTTGTTCGTCTCTTCCTCGACCGAAAGCGAAGGCTGATCATTTCCCTTGCCCATTACCGCGTTGAATAGCTGCCCAGCCCGACATCTGCCACCATCGCTCCCTCTTTGCTTTTCTAAGCTCGACCAATCCTTCAACAACTGCACACCAGTCTTATCGATATCGCCTTGCCCAAGACCAGCGTTCTGCCTTGCCTTCGTGACGGCCTTACCCCATGCCGCTTTGAGTTGCTCCTCGCCTCTACCTGCTTCGCCGCCCTCTAGCTCGGCGACTCTCTCCTCCAACGTGCTCTCCAACCTCCTCATGCGGTGGTAAGTATCTGCCATATTGCCGTTAACGTTCATGTACGAGTGTATCTTCATGAGCATCGCCAAAGTATGCAGTACGAAGAAGCCACTCTGTACCCAAGGCCACTTTCTGTATCTTGCCCACTTGATGACTGCGCCTAATAGTGCTGATTGCCAGAGGTGTTGGAAGACGACTGCTGTTGGCCAGTAACGAACCCAGCCTCGGCGACAGACCATGGCGAAGGGGACGCAGATGAAGAGGGAACCAATGAGAACCGCGTCGGAGAGGGCCAGCATCCATGCGTCTTTGCTGAAGAGTGTGGCAAAGGTGAGAGAGAGGACTTGACCTGTGCTGGCAAAGCTGGTGTAGCTGGTGTTGAGGACGAAGAGCGCCAAGCAGACCCAGAAGAGGGTGAAGAAGCCTCTGAACTGATCGCGAGAGGAAGACTCGTTGAAGCGATCAAAGTGGCTCCTGCGCGGCTTGAAGGATACGACGGCACGCATCTTCTTGCGGGATTTGGACGAGGCAGCCACAGGTTCGAGGTGAATCGCTCCATCTTTGCCGACTCGATGGGATAGGCCCTTGGCGCCAATGTGTTGGAATTCGACGGTGGAGGAACCGGAGCCGCGGGCATTCAAGATGGTGGTGGTGACAGTAGATGTGGCTATGGTGGGTTCAGATTCAGAGTCGGGAGTGCGAAGGCCATTGTTGGGTGTTGAGGGGATAGAGGAGTATGGCATGTATTCGGACTTGGGGGTGTCGACTCCAGAGATGAGCTGTGCTACTTTGGGATGTTGCTTGGGCTGAAAATCTTCTTCTGTTGGAAGCGAGCCCTCCTTGCTGGTTTTCGAGGACATGGTTGCAGCGTTCTTATGATGGGTTTCAAGAGGAGGCGAAAAACGCTGGCGGATCGGGATGCTTGAAGCCTGTACGCCGATTGGTGAGCTGTTCCGAGATGAGGTAGTCCGAGTGGGTGTAAGTTGGTAGGCGCAAGAGCGACACCTTCTGGAGACAGGATCAGAAGAGTGGTGCTGAACTACAGTAGGTGTGCAAGTGATGGTGGTGCTGACGACTGCCGAACTCTTATTCACGTGAGAGCTGAGTACAGTCAGTAGCAGCGTCGTGATGTCGAGCTTATAATAGCTAGTGGAAGGGTCAAGGCCGGAAACTTTATTCCATAACGTGTAAGAGTCTGTAAGTTAGTGGCGACTGGCTTGAAGCGTGTTGATGAGGGCACAGTGACTACACGCACAGGCTTGCTACACTATTGCCATGCGCCGTGCTTAGTCGTCTTGCTCCACCTTTATGTGTTAGGAGTGCACCCTTTTCTCCAAAAAAGAGGTGCCAATTTCTTCATCTGGCCCAAATTCCTCCCCTCTCCAAACGTCTATGACTGGTCTCTCCTACCAGAATTTGGTATCATCGTCATATCGTATTCGAGACCTGATTCCCGGGTAGTATAAACTAGGTTGGCTTCACCCGAACCTTGATTTCGACGTCTTTGCTCCGAGACACAGCCCGCTTGAACCATTCACGGCTCATCGATGCGATAAGCCGAATGTGCCGCAAATTTGACTATGACCCCTCGACCTAGAGCCTACCCGAAAGTCGTCGGACCCCAACTAGTCGTATCTGCTAAAGGATGCTCAGCACTCGAGTGATCTGGTCACCTCCGATCTGTATTATTGCTCCATATGACTCAAGTGTTTCCTGACAATCAAAACCAGGACATGTCTTGCAAGGCAGAGTTAAGTACTCACTATTGGTGGCGCTCGAACCATTCGGTCTGATTTCCCGTGTTGCTTGAGAGATCCGACATCGGCTCGATCTCAGCCAAATTCGGCCGCCAAACATGGTCTTACGCTTCAGACGTGCTGCGGTATCACTCACGAGTCTCGGATCTATGAAATCTTTTGGTCTCAATGCCTCTTGCTTATTATCGCAGGCTACCAGCACCTTATCACACCGCCTCTCGTTGAATCTGCAATCACGTTGGAAGTATAGCATCTTCTGTGTGATGTGGTGTGATGAAGCAAAAAATTTCCCGGCCAGGGAATCGAACCCTGATCTGAGCAGTGAAAACCCGACGCGTAAATTCGTAGGGTGTCTGAGAGTGCCCTATACTAACCATTGTACTAACTGGGATGATGTGCATGCTTGTGAAATAAAGTTATACCTAAACTAATTCAAAGTCAGTTGTCAAGGCTTATTGCAAGCTGTACAACGTTGGACCCGTGTTTGCGGGGTAGTCTTCCCACAGACCAGTGCCGACCCCATCTTCCGTAACCACTCTGCACTCTCCTGACTTGACAAGCACCAGAGAAACCTCATCAATACCTTGTCAAAAGACACAGCATCGACGCCTGCGTTATTCTACACAAGATCGCTCTAGTTTTATTTTCACTTTCGATTGCCAAGATGACGGAACCAAAGCCAAACTATTCGGAAGGAAACTCGCGCTTCAACGACGAAGCAAAGATGTGGGATAGCAAGCCCGAGGTTGTCAAGAGTTCCCAGTACTGTCTCGCCAGTCTGCTGGAGTCTGCATCAAGGTATGTTCCGCAAGGTTTGTCTTCATGTGCTGTATTGGAGATTGGATGTGGAACTGGGCTTTTAACAGTACCTCTAGCGCAACATGTCAAGAGCATTCTGGCTTTGGATACGGCTTTGGGTATGATTGAGATGTTGAAAGCTAAAGTTGAGAAACAAGGGTTGGTTGAAAGAGTTCGTGCTGAAGTGAAGCTTCTGGAAGATCCAAAAGATACGGTGCTGGCGGCCGAGAAGTTTGACTTGGTTGTTAGTCACTTGGTGATGCATCATGTACCCAACATGTTGGATCTGCTGAAAGTCATGCATGGGACGCTCAAGCAGAACGGAAGGGTGTGGATCAGCGATTTTGAGGACGATGGTCCCCGAGCACAAGCTTTTCATCCAAAAGATAAAGTAAGCATGGTCAGACAGTTCAAACACAGAACCTGTCAGGTTCGATCCAAGAAAAAGGAGAGCAGCAAACACAGACACAGATCGCCAGCTGACGCACACATGATCTTCTTTTCTTCATCATTCGATTTTGGTGACACAGCACGCCGGCGTAGAAAGACACGGTCTGAAGCGGACAGAAATGAAAAGCATTCTCAAAGACGCAGGCTTCAGTGATGTTCAAGTCTTTACAAGCTTCTCGATCGAAAAGGAGGTCGACGATGGATCTCTCCAAACGTTTCCCTTCCTCGCCGTGACGGGAATCAAATCCTAATTTTTTCCTCACAGACTTTCCCCACAGAGGCAAGGCTAAGTTTGCCTTGGGTTTGGACTTCGAATGCGCAAGAGTATATGCAAGCAACATCTTCCATCCCGTGTAATGCTCTGTTATGATCAGTTCATAATGACACATCCCCTGCGGGAAAAGCTGGCATCAGTGAAAAGAATCTGCAATCTCAGCATGACTCTGAGCTGTTTCAACCATCCACAAATCCTTCAAAGCCTCGACAGTACGTCCGTCGTTCGCTTCGAGCATGGTAGCTGCATCCCACCTTTCCCTTCTATCGTCCTTCATCATCTTGCGCTCGGAAACCGCCTGCTGAACCGCTTGCCATCTACTCAACAGATCAATGTAAAACGTTTGTCCCGATTCCGCTTCCTCTTCCTCCTCTGTGGACACCAATTGCCTAACCGCAACGTCCAGATCTCGCGTCCTCAACAACAAATCATCTCTCACCCCTGAAGCTTCGTAGACCATACTTCCACCGTCTTGATGGGCAACACGAACAAGAGCCCTGATCAGCGCTGTGTAGGTGGCTAAATTAGCAGGTGCAAACCCTTCTTGTGGCCCCTTCACTCCTTCCATCTCCCCTTCATTCCTTGTTTCATTGTGCCTGCCTGAAGAGGAAGAGCAGAGAGGTAGAGGAGAAACAGTGTTGATCCCAACAGCTCTGGCTAGGACGGATGTGGTCGTGGACCAGCGAGAACGGCCTTCTCGACCAAGACACTCCAGAGCTATAGTCCAAGAGCTGATACTCGGGCGAATTTGAAATTGGTTGGTCATGTCTCGAATGACCGGCAACACCGCTGAAGATGAGCCGAAGGGAGTATATGTGATGTTGGACGAGACGGACGATGACGTGGAAGGGGAGTCTTCTGTGGGTATGCTTGAAGTGTGGATGCGAGCAAAGGCTCGAAGGAATGGGTCAAAAGTATGGCTATCTGGTCGCTGGCTTGGTAGCCACTGGGTGAATACGAGCTCTGGGAGACCGTCGTTCTCTTTACCCACATCTGAGTCTGCATGTGATGACGAAGATGCGGAAGAATGTGTGGGGAGCGAGGCGGCTTTCCAGGTGTCGTAGACCTGTGCAAGGCGATTATAGTCCTTTCTTTCAACGCAAAGACCGGTGATAGCTCTGAGCATCAAATTGATAGCGTGCGTAGAAGGCCATTGCTTGCTACGCCCTGCGTTCCTTTGAACATGTTTACTCCCCTTGCCCGTCGCCGAAGTCGAGTCCAGTGCAAGACCAATAAGCTCTGGAGTTATGCCGCCAGCAGGCAACCTGAACCCAGATTTCCCGACATAAAATCCAATCGCCTCTCTGTACTTCTCCTTCTTGACCAACCCATACAATCTACTTGTCTCCCATAATCCCCTGCCACCCCTGGTGTCCAACAAAGCCTTTCTGATCGGTCGTAAGAACTCTTCCGCGGTGAGCGTCTCAAAATTGCTGCTTGAAGAAGCATGTGTCGTGTCACTATGCATGTCTGGTTCGGTAAGAGAAGTTGTCACACCAATGGTGCCGAGTTTGTGTGCCGTATCGTGGAGCGAGGAGAGAGCGTAGGCTGAAGGAAGGTGAGAGAAGACCGAGTCATTGTCTATGGTTGAGGTTGATACAAGCGCAGAGTTGGTATCATCACGCCAAATTCGAGCAGAGGAGTTGAGCACCGAGAGAAGATGGTTTCGGGCGGCAACAAGGTCTCCTTGGCGAAGGTAGAAGAGGATTGCACCGTCGAGATCTGTCTCCGACCTATCAGAGCAGTTCGCGTAAGTCCCGGAAGATGTGAAGGCTGACTCTCGCTGTACACGCTCCAGAACTGTATCGACGTTGGTCGCTGTCTGCGTCACCGGCCTTGCTGCATTGTTCGCCAATCTTTCCGTTAGCACCCTTGCTCGTTCGATGTAATAATCATCACCACCTTTGACCAACTCCTCAACGAGAAAGTTTTCTGTGAACCCGTCAACCTTCAACACCTTTCTCAAGGCTGCGGTAATGGGCATAACGCTCTTATCAGCCCACAGTAGAGCATCATCCAGACGGCCTGCAAGGGCCAACGTTCGAATGCCCAGATTGTACAGTCGACTCAGCTCCATCGTTGCAACTTGTAATTCTCGCTTTTTGCTTGGATCCTTTTGCCCTTTTTGAGCTTGGTGCACTTGCACAATTCTGTTGAAGTACTGCCAAGCTACGTCAGGATTGCTGCGCGCTTCTCCAGGCATCATGTTTCCGACGCCAAACCTTAGTATCTGGGCAAGAAGGCTCTGCAATACCCCCCACAAACCTTTTTCGACAGCAATCATACTTGCGCGTTGCAGCAAGCGAAGGTCATCGCCATAAGCATTTAGAAGAACCAAGAAGCACTTTCTAAAGTCTCTAGAAACCGACCTCACTTGAACTGAGTAAGAATTATTGGAAGCAGTGTTGAGATATTTGGTTCCGGAAACATAGCCTGGGCAGAGACGCATCCACAGGAGCATATCATTAGGACGATCGTTGTGGACTGCCCACATTGCGGCGGACGAGAAGATGGGCAAAGGCTCCGAGAGGGGGGTTCGAAGTGTCTGCAGTTCGTGGAGGACTTGAGTCGCCGTTTCAAATTCCTCATCTCCTATAAGCCGGGCAAGGAGCTGGGTTGGTGGGGAGAGCGTCGAGGGTGTCTTTGTGGATGGATCGAACACGGTTGATGTGGAGCCGGAATCGGTTGAGGAGTGTGATGTTTCAGCTGCACTAGCGCCGTTAGGAGAAGATGGCACCTGCTGGACATATGTGGAGTCCTGGGGCTCGAAAAGCGAATAGTCGACGCCGCGGGGATCTATTTCGTTATTTGATCCTGGGAGCGGGTATGGTGTTGGCGAATTTGCTGTTGAGTAGGACGCAAAGGCGAAGATTGATGTCCGTTTTATTTTCGCTGTCGATGAAGATGAGACAGAAGAGAATATGATTGATGAAGCGAATAGTGGTATGCTCAGGGCCGAATGCGAGCCCGATGCAGGGGAGAAGTAGGCGGGGCAAAAGGCAGCTGAGCTGAGGACTCGCCGTTGCTGCTGCTGCTGTTGTGGTAGTTGCAGGAGGGCTTGATAGGCGTTCCTTGTGTGCAAAGCGCCCTTTGACCTCCGCATATGGGCTCTGATTGTATTAAGGAGACTATATAATAGCCTGCATGTGCAAGAAGAGCCGTGTCTAAGGGAGAGTGAGGGTTTGTGGAGCATAAGAAGGGTCCTTCGAGAAGCATAGATGAAAGCGAGAAACCCTCCGGATACTTTCAACGAGCCGAGATCCGAGGATGCACTGAAAGAAAAAAATTGTAATTGTTAAATTTGTTTTGTGTTGAGCTCTAAATTGTCTCGGCAAATTATTGGACAGGCTTTCAATTAATTCCACGTCAACTTTTGCCATCGTCCAAACCCTCACTACGCACTGACATGGCTTTAGCGTTGCGATAGAATAAATATGGACTTTGTGGGGAAACTACTCCACCTACACAAGCTTCCCGTCAGCACATCTCTTTCTTCCTTTCTCCTTACCTAATTGTCATCACTCAACTTCACCACACAGACCTTTACGAAGCATCTTCGCTCACGATGAAGTGGACCAGCAGTCTTCTTCTGATTGGAACGCTCCTCTTCGCCACCTCGAGTGAGGCTGCACTCTTTCCAAAGAATTCCAAGGTCACCATCCTCGATCAGAACAACTTCGAACGGGAGGTGCTCTCCATCGAGAAACCCACCCTAGTCGCCTTCACTGCCCCCTGGTGTGGCCACTGTCAAAATCTCGTCCCGGACTATCTCAAGGTTGCTTCTCAGCTCGACGGCGTAGTCAAGCTTGCCTCGATCGACTGCGACAACGATAAGAATAAACCTCTCTGTAGCAAGTATGGCATCCAGG